GCTTCGCGCCGCCGGGGCGCCTCCCGACGCGCCCGAGGGGCCTTCGGGAGGCGAGCGAGGGAGGGCAGCGGGGCGCGCGGCCCGGCTCAGACAATCTGGGAGGAACAGCGCCGCAGCCACATCCGGGGCCTAAGGCCGCCACGCGCCGCCCCCGCACGCTCGCTGCCTATTGGCTCGCTGCACCCGCCGCCCTTTAAATATGGCCGTGCAGCCGGCAGAGCGAGGGGGTGGGCCCTCACGCCACGCCTGCGCAGTAGGGTGTCCCGGGAGGGGTGGGCCTGTCTCTCCGCCCCCTCTCCGTAGCCGGCTCCCGGCGCACCCCGCGAGCGAGCAGCTGGGTGCCAAACACTGAACAGACTGGGCGGAGCGAGCGTGCGGCGGGGGTTGGGGGGACGGGCGGCTGCTGTTTGCAAGCTTGTGGGCGGGGCCGAGGCAGGCTCTGGAATAGCGCCACGCCCCGCCCTCCGCGCGTGCCAGTCCCGCCTGGTCGGCCCGGGAGCTCGCGAGAGGCGGCGCCCGCGGTTTCCCCTCCTGCAGAGGCGGGGCTCGGACGGCGCCTCGCCGGGCGGCTGGGCGGCTGGGCGGGTGTGCGGGACCCCCGGCGGCCCCGGGGGTGGGGAGTGGGGGTGCGGCCCGCCGGTTCAGGCAGCGCTTCCGGAGAGTCCACCCTAAATAGAACGAGCCGAGCGCCCCGCTGGGGTCCTTCCTCCCCCAGCCTCCGCGAGCTCCGCGCCCTTAAAATAAACCCTGACTCGCTCAGGAGGCCCCGCAGGCCTGGGCCTCCTGCCCGCCGGCCGGGACGCGCCTCCGTGCCCTAGAGCCCAGCTGCCCCCCGGCCGTGGAGTAGAGAGCGCCCCAGTTTCCGTTCGTTCCGTGGGTCGCGCATAACAAGATGAATAATTACGGGTGTTTTATCTCTTTTTATCCTGAATATTACCAAGTCAAGGTCTAATATCGGGTCCTAGGGAAAATTTAGTAGGTAGTGACCAACATTTTATAAAAATGAAATAGAAAATAACTCTGCATCCCGCATAATGAAAACAAGTGCAGCTTTGTAAAGCATCTCACTTACACACGTCAGCACGTAAAATGTATTTCTTAATGTCCTGAGAACAGCTTACCACTGTGCCAGATAGGCGCTGACTGATTCACTAAGCAGGAAACGGGGACGACGTGCAGGTGAAGTGGTGGGTGGGCGTGGGGCTCCTCTGTGGGCCCCTATACCGTACTCTACTCGTCCTGCGCGCTGCGAAATCCAACCACTCCCACCACAACCAGCAACGCCCAGCTCCAGAACCGTGAAGGAAGCAGGAGACCACGGAGGAAGCAGGAGAAGAGGTTGGAAAGTCTTCTAGTTTAATCTGCAATGGTTTACCTGTGTGTACCAAAATTGCTTCCTGGCTTCTGGACAATTGTGCTAAGCTCTCCCTGGGGAAGAGAGGTCTGGGGCATCGCTGCTCTCCGCTTCCACTAGGGCAGCACAGCCTTGATAGCCCCGTTTGAGTACACAGCCACGCCTCTGGCAATTGCTCCGGCAGCCTCCTGGTGACCTGCTGCGGGCCGAGGTTCTTCCTTCCCACTTTCCAAGTTAGGATGCCAGGGTCACACATTTTCTACCTCATTCTCCTGGTTTCTGAGGCAGGAGTCTGTGTTGAGCGTACAGATGCCTTCACTAACGGGCTGATTCTGTCTCGGAGAAGTGAGCTGGACCCTGAGTCTCACGTCTCAAGGCAAGAGATGCAGCAACCAGAGACCTCTGAACACCCGCCAGGCTCCTGCTCTGCAGCTGGGTGGTTCCCTGCGGATAATAGCCAAGGTGCAGATGCAGGCCAGGGGCTAAAAATACACAGTGTCCAGGTCCAGGAATGCAGGCCCTGCCACTGATTCCTGGTCTCCTGCCCAGCACCTGCCTGAGAAGGTGAGTGCTTGTGCTGCTGGACGGAAACCCAACCTAGGAGTCCGTGGGTGGTGTTTGTTTCCAGGCTGGGCTGCTGGTCTAATCCAGTACCTCCACAGCGTCAGCTCTTCCCGTGTGTGCAGGTCTGAGGCCCTGCCCACTTGGTGATCATGGGATGGAGAGAAATGATGCCAGTTTTCTGGCAAGACCCCCGCCAAGCAGGCCAAGCAGTCGCTGCCTCAGTTTCTCCACTTGCCAGGTGGAGATTATAGCTACCCTGCCCATCTCCGTGGTGTACTGCAAGTCACCCCCCCCCCAGACGATAGTGTCTGTCCTGGAAACCTTGAATGGTTGCCAGAGTGTCTGGGCCCCATCCACGAGGCTCACAGACAGGAAGAGGCAGTTACAGAGGTTTCTGTGGGAACTGTGAGCAGACTATAAAGGCACCTACTGTGTGTGTGGAGGAGAGTGAAGCAGTTCCTAAAAAGGACAGGCGGAGACATGGAGATGAGCCCCACCCCGTGCGGCACTACCAGTCCAGCCGGGGTCACACTGGCCGGTGTCTTGCAGCAGGCGAGTCATCGCCACATAAAACTATTCTGTGAGTCAGATGTCCACCCGAAACAGAGTGAGCAGTGCGCCATTCCTCTCACAGTTACCCTTGCTGAGTGGGAGGGACACAAAGCAGGAGCAGATTGAGAGGAGAACATGGGTAGGTTTGTAGTCCACAGGGAAAGTAAAAATCCGGTGGCCTGAAGTGGAGCATCCTGCCAGGGAGAGGGGACCTTGCCTACCCGCTGCTCTCATGCACAATCTGGTAGAGAGAGGGGTTGAGGGAAGGCCCACAGACGATCACCCTGCTGGGAAGGAGCCCTCCCTGCCACAGCCAGCCAGGACACAGGGAGGTAGGCACGGGCTAGAGGGCGCATCCTTGACTTTGTAGTAGGCAGGGGAAGTGGCCAGGAGGCCCAGGGGCTGTGGCTGGACAGGGAGAAGAAGGGAGGACAGAGATGGTACAACTAGCAGCCCTGCCCCAGGCCTCACCTGTTCTCCCTGCGTCTTTCCGAGATCCATTTCCTCCCGCACCGGGCTCTGCAGGGCTGTTTCCCGGTATGAGCAGCAGCGGGCTGAAGTTCGTGTGTTCTCGGCCGCCTCCCCTTCTCTCCTTCCCTGTGGCCTCCTTTCCTCACCCCCCTGCTCCTCCTCTGACTCCCTCCTCTGGCCTGCCTTCTCTTTCCCCTTCTCCCGCTCCTTCTCAACCTTCTCCCCCGTTTGCCCCCTCTTTCCTGCCTCTTCTCTTTCTGTGTTTCCCTCCACCCCAGCGCATCCTGGCAGCTGAGCCTTCTGGTGTGAGGAGTGGTGCATGGAGGAAGACGCACTGCAGGAAGCCAAAGAGATGCAGAAACTCCACACCCGGATAAGCAGCCCCAGCCCCTTTCTGGGTGCTGCTAGATGGGACTGCTGCTAGGGAGGAACATGGGCCGAGCCAGACATTGGATCCCTAAATGCTAGAGTGGAGTGGAGCTGCCGCCTCAGAAACAGAGATGAAATGGTTGGAGAACATCCTGGGAGCAGAAACAGGCCACTAGCGAGAGGCAGGCCACTTTAAGAGCTCAGGAATAACTGCGGTGCGGTGCAAATCTGGGGGGGCCTCTGTTTACTTGGACAAAAGGTAAGCAATAAAAGACTCATTCTGAGCCAATTCTCACACTCCCCTAGGGGAGTGCAATGGCCAGTGTTTGCAGAGCGTGTTGCATGCTGGACCCCGTGCCCAGTCTGGCCATGCAGCCTCCTCCTCTAGATGTGACCCTCCCTTCGGAGATGAGGAAACCAGGCTTTGAGCCTGGGCTGGGGGACTGGGCAGGCTCACACAGCCCGAGAGTGACAGGGTGGTCCCGATGGAAGGCTGACCTTCATTCTCAGGCCCCGACGTTCTTCTGTCCTCACCCTGAGGCACAGAGACCGGGTGTGATTTCTGCACTTGAGGAGCTCAGGCTCGGCCGGTGCCCAGAGGGAGGCTGGCTGCGGCCGGAGCAGGGCAGTGGGGAAGGAAGCAGGTACTTCTCTAAGGGGGTCTGCTCTGACGTTTCATTCTGTCTTGACTCCACCCAAGGAAGCAGGATGTGCCCTAGGGAGTTGCTGTGGCAATCAAGCCTACCTAGGAGCATCCCACCCAGGCTGGGCACGTCTCCTCGCCCGTGATTAATGGTGCATAGGCATCTTCTGGGCAGAGCTACTGCCCCAAGGGTGAGGTCATGTGAGTAGAGAGCTAGCCCAGGCCTCCCAAAGCCGTCCTCACCCTGCAGCACTCTGAGCGAGTGAGGACCTGGTGTGGTTCTGAGGCTGGCATGCTGGGGGTGGGAAACGTTCTTCCAGAGGCATGGCTATTTTTACTCCCGTGCAGGTCCAGCTGGTTAACACCATAATCCTTTCCTTCTGTCTCTGCCTTAACCGCTCTGAGAGCAAAGGCTGGATTAAGGCTCCAGGTGGCAAGGACTATTCCAAGAGCCAAGCGTGCCCCCTCAGGCCCACAGCAGAAACACTGGCTGCAATGCCCCAACAGGGCTGGGTAGGATGTTGCAGGGGGAAGGGCAGAGTGTGGGCAGATGGAGAAGGCTGGGCCAGAGGAAAACAGTTTCCCATCCCAGGGTTTCTTCATGCCGTCTCAGCAGGTACCAGACTGAGGAGGCTGGCATCTCACACACATTCCCAGTGGCTTGCTTTGTTAGACAGGCAATTGCTGGCCAGTTTGTCTTTTCCAAGCACCAGCATATGAAATCCCACTTGCCTTGGAGTTCTGCTGGCTCGGTTTCCCTTCCTTCCTTCCTTCCTTCCTTGCTTTTTTCCTTCCTTCCTTCTTTCCTTCCTTCCCTCCTTCATTCCTTCCTTTCTTTCCTTTCCTTCCTCTCTTCCCCCTCCTCCTCTTTCTCTTCTTCTTGTACTGAGCATTGAACCTGAGCCTTTGTACTAAGCTGTATCTTCAGCTCTTTTCATTTATAAGTTCTTACTAAATCACTAAGTTCCCGGGGCTGGTCTTGAACTTGTGATCCTCCTGCCTTTGTCTCCCAGAGTGCTGGGATCAGAGGATTCTTCTACCTGGCACTCAGCAGCATCCAAGACCTCAGGGGCAGCACACTTGATTCTGACCCCTTTACCTACTGGGTTGGACCTGAACTCTTTTTTTATTTATCTGTAGCCTTATCGCGGTATGACTTATAAACTACAGTACTCACCCATTTAAAGTATAGAGTTG